TTTTAGATTTGGATGGTAAAAATAAAATTCCATTCATTTACTATGATAGTATACCTTTCTTGCAGTTGTCTTATCTGTTTAATACAAACCTTTGAATCTTTACTGCCTGAAGAATAAAGACCCAAACAAAAATCACAAAATCTCAAAAATCTAGTCTACCCTTTCCCATTTCACCCTGTCATACCTCTCTATACCAGTAAGCTCCCATCATACTGAACTCATTTCAAATCCTTCTATTATTGTGCACTTGCATTATGAACCTTTAGTCCTGTATTAACTCAGGTATTTATGTATACGGAATTTCTTCTTTTCTGGTGCAATCATTCTGCCAAATTCAGTTTGAAGTCCTTCTCATATCTCATAGGTTTATATTTTTCTGTATTAATAGTAATTTTACCTTTCTTGCCTGAATTGTCACTTGGCTGCTTGATATCAACAATAAAATAAAATATAATCTTTTCCAAGTAAGGACATTAAATATTTGTGAATAAAAAGGCAATATGTTGCTGGAGGTTGTGAAACAGGTTACACAATTTACCTCAGTCTGCCTTTCTAATTACAATCATCCAGTTCTTGTCATTTTCTTTTTCAAAATATACTCACCTACCTTACCAAGTGTGAGTTCTATACTGTCATTTATATCCAGCTCGAAGTCTATGATTTATGAGTGATGCCTGTAGTTTCTGTGTTTGTTCTGAAAATTTCTCCTCGTGATCTGGAAATCCACGAAATAACAAAAATAAGCTATTTGATCCAAATCACAGAAAATACAATGTGGAGTAGGTACAGAGAATGATCCTATTCAGAAAGTGAAAGAATGGGAAGCACAATCTGATCCTGAAATCTCATGTGGCAGCAGTTACTGTTGACTGAAAATGTGGATACATTCTGGTTAAGCCCTGATTTTACTTGGGGGGATTAGTTTTAGCTCACTCTTTTTTGTGGTTCTTACTTCACCATCTGGGAAGTCTTGTCCATCTAAAAAGGACATTAAAGAATAGACCCTCCTTGGAAGATGGTCCTGTATTTGAACGTCTCATTTCCAGAAGAGTGGAGAGTACAAAGTCTCACTTCTCACCTCAAATAATCACCATCTCTTTCATTCAATGCTGATGGTTCTTTTAATAGTAGTGGGTCAGTACTGCTTCTGTTCTATTTGTTTCCAATCTATTTTTTTTACATCAATGTTCATATAAACAATTCTTTTTCAACTCACCTTTCTTTTTCTAGACTTACTTTCAGACATTATGGTCCTACTAGGCTTTGATAAGAGCGTTACACTCTTCTATTTGTCTAGACTTTCAAACTGTTAAATTAACAGGAATTACTGCGGCATTAATTGAGATGTTTCAACAAAGGTGTGATGGCTACATGCTTGACTGGGCACTTTTATTGAGGCTTTAGTTGACTCTTGTAACCCAAACACTTTCTCACTTTTACCTAACACAGCTGGAGATGAGAATCAGTCACATTTTCTACCTCTGCAAATCTCTAGATATCTAGATGCTCTACTCTGTTCTTAAAGAGTTTGCAAACTATTTGACTCCAATTCTTTACTGTGTGACCTTGTCAACTGTTAACAACAGTAAATGACATGTTAGCATAGTATTTACTTGCCATTTTAATGAAAACTATGAATTCATCAGAGATACTAACTGTATTCCAATTGAAAACTGTATCAACAAATGTTAAAGTAGTGGTCACATAGATTGCTAGCATTTCTAGCTTCTGGTTGAGTTCCCTTGACACTGAACCCAATGCCAGATATTTTAATATTTTTTATTATGGTAACATGCCACCACACTTTGAAAACCAAATTCTTTACTTGGCATGAATCTCAGAGAAAGTAGCCAAAGAAGGCTACCTTATCCCTCAGTCACAAACTGCTTTCAGATCTGGTGACTTGCAACAATGAAAGTTTATTTTTTTCACTTGATACAAGTCCATACAGGTCAGCAATGGCTCTGCTCCAAGTATTGTCCTTAACATATAAGTGTCTATTTTGGACATGGCTGATCTTGTGGCAGAGAGAAAAGAGAGATGTGTTGACTCTTTCAAGCTTCTGCTTATGCATGACACATGATAAATTTCACATCTCATATTTTAATAAAACAAGTAATTTCATAAGTCTGACATTAATGAGGAAAGTAAGTGATATAGCCTTTGAAGAGTCATAGAAGGTATTTGTATACAATATAATCAGACATAGATGCCAATCCTTTTTTAAGGTTAAAATTTGTTTTTACACTGCCCTGTATCATTGCTTTTTGTTCTACTTTTCCAATCCCTGCTTAAAAGAGGCCATAGACGCCGCCCTCTTCAATTTTAATGAACAAAATTTAAACTTTTATGTTTTGACATTTTGGCTATATTTAATGAAATTCATATTCTGTAACTTTGCTTTGCTACATTTCCAAAAGCATCATCTAACTGCTCTGTTAATGTTACCTCTAACAACTCGGTCAAGGACAAAAAAGACAGCCACTAGATTTTACTTTCCTATTAACAAAGCATTACTATATACCCAGTTATTTATTTTAGTATCAACTGTTATAATTAAAAACAGAATATTGCAAGAGTTCTAATTTATTTGTTGAACATTTACCTATACTAAATGCTTCTTGATTTCTATGTTCACTTCTAACCATCTCTTATGTTTTTGTGCTGATTTTAACATATCCATACTCTTTACCACAATCTACAAGGTCATTCTCATAAATACCTTACAACTCCTGGCCTCATTTTCTTCTCCTTTGTTATGTGTCTGTCACACTGATCACCCTTAAAAAAGTTTTTAACATCTATAAATTATTACTCCTGATTACTGGAATGTAATTTTCCCAGATATTTACTAGATTGCATCTTTCTTTTCATTTAGGTTTCAGCTCAAACAATACTTCCCCAAACATTGCACCTGAAATTCCTGAACTGCACGTCCTTTGTATTCTCACCTTACCTTCTCTCCTAAGCAATTTCATTCAGTCATATGGCTTTGTTTTCCATCAATAAACTAAGTCTTAAACGTATTCTTCTAGTCTAGATCTCTTTTCCCATATAGAAATCACCTGGATGTTACAGAAATACATACTGTCATCTCTTATTTCAATAATTGGCATTAGTATCCAGAAAGTTCATTTAAACTGAACCTACAAAATTATCCTTGATCCTTTTCTGCACTAGTCCATAGTCAGCCAATCAATAAATCCTGTTAGTGCGACCTCTTAAATATCTCTGGAATCTTTTCTTCATCATAACATTTCCCACACTAGGCCAACTTACCATTCTATCACACAATTATTGCAGTGGCCCTTTAAATAGTTTCTCCCTTTTCATGCTTTATATCCTCTAGTACAATCTAATACAGATAAAATAATCATTTGAAACCACAGCATCTTCCCTTTGCTTTATTTCCTAATATTCTCAGCATAAAATCCAAGATCTGCATGGTGGTTATTGTATCATCAGCTCTGAACCCACCTTCCTCTCTTTCAAGTTCCAATCATACCGGGACCTTTCGCAAGTTGTTGTGCCAGATTTCGAGTTTCCCAAAGATCACCAAGGGGCAAATTCCCCATGCAAAGCACACTTGAGTATTGCAAGCTTGAGCCTGGGTTCCCAACATGCAGTGACACAGCAGCTCAAGCTGAGAGCCCTGAGCTCAGGGAAGGCAGGGTATTTATTACAGAAGAGGGGAGTTTCAGCCCAGCAGAGGGGAGTTTTTGCTTAGCAATACATTGATTGGTGGACATTGAACAAAGTTATCTTGTCTTAACCTGGTTTATCTATGCATGTAAGATGTGACCTTCACTACTCGTCCTGCATAGAACTTAGGATACCTGGCATTTTTCTGATATGTACTGGTTATTTGCCTACTTGCTAATTAGCTGTTGGCTATGGGATGAGCAAGATTAGGGCATTTACAGTTAAACTCAGCCATGGCGCCTTGTTGATAATCAAAACTTAGGCCTGGGTGGTTCAAAAGCATTCTGAAGCCTGTCATGGCGTCAGTTTGGTCTTTCAAAGTCATCAAAAGGTTTCTCTAACTTTAGACCATGACATATGCTACCTCTTTTCGGTACACCAGCATCCACCCTTATCACTTCGTTAATGTCCACTCTTTCAAACATGTTGCTTTTTCAGAAGATCCTTTTATTATTCTTTCCTGTCTCAATTAGCCAAGTACGTGGTCAGAGGGGATTCAGATCATCACTGGGGCATCAACAGCCAGTTCCATGAAGCACTTGGGTAAAAAACGAGAGGGGAATCTTATTGGTGTCGTGGGCAAGAATATGCATAGGGATAGCTGACTACTGTCTACTGGAAACACAGTTAAAAGTTCAATTTCGGACCCAGGGAGAGACGATAATGCTCTGTCGAAAATATCACTGTGGGCTGGAACATTCACTCATAGGGGGCCGGTATCTGAAGGTTTAGAAATCACACTGACAGGACTATTGCCAGCTTTAAGTCATTAGCTGTTCAACTTCTGCCCATAACCGACTGAGACAGGAAGCAGCTGCAGTCTTCTTAAGCCGCAGTAGCTGACCTTAGAGACATGAGCCTTGACCTTCAGTCTAGGCGCCTGGCGCTCAGCCATCACAGGCGCCGCGCGGCTCCCTCAGCGGCTGTAAGAGCCTGGCCGGCTCGCTTCAGGCACGCGCGTCCACAGCGCTTCAACTCCTGAACCTCGGTCGCAGGCGCCGCGCCGGAGGACTTAGCTTGAGGAGCGTGCGTAGGGCCCTTCGGCCCGCCCGCGCCAATCCTTATGGTGTGGCCCCCGGAGAAAGTGCCTGTTTAGTCAATAGAATGATTCTAGTTCATTCCAAAAATTACTTGCCCCAAACACACAGAACACAGGAATGAGAATATATATATTTTTGAGGAAGCTTGTTGATGACCTGGGTAGTTTAGGCGGGTGCACGGGGCGCGGGAATCGAAGCAGGCACTATTACGGACAGCCACATCCGGGTCCTCCTTCCATAGGCTGCCCTTCGAGCCCGGGGCCCTTCAGGTAGGAGGTCTTGGATGACTTTGGACGTCCGTACTGCTTAGGTGCGGTGACTTCGTTCGGCCTTGCAGACTTGTTCTCGTCTTCCCAGCCCAAGGCCTCTCCCGCAACCATGCTCCGCCTGATCGTCAGTCAAGCCAGGAAGCACCCTAGTGTAAGTACCTGACCCCTTTAGCATTTTGTGTAGTATTGCGTCTTTAATATTTGGAGCTTCCTCCTTTATGGCCGCGTACCTTTCTCTGTACTGGAACTTCCTGTGCTACTTTCTGGGTTGCCCTAGGCGCTTGAGCTCTGACCTCCTGCAGCCAGCCTGCTTTGGGGGTTTGGAGCTGAGCGGCAGAAGGTGGGGTACCTTCAGACAAAAATGAGCTAGTGAGTAGTGGTGCATCATTCTGGTGGCTGCGCCTTTTTTGCTATTTAGACCGATGTAGCGGGATGGTCGAACGCTGTGTGGTTTGGAGATCAGCCAAGATCAGGTTTCCCAATTTGTTGTGCTGTGTGTTAGGATCATGTACTCACGACATTGAACGGCGAGGCCTTTTGGTAAGTGAGGGTCTGTGGTCTTCGAATCTTTGTTTTGAAAATTTTGGGGGTGGTGGTAGTGCAGATTTTAATCGCAGGTAAAGATTTTTTTGTAGCTGTTAATTTCCCCCAGCAAGTCAGTGTTCTGTAATCTTACAGCTTAATCACTCAATGTAGTTATTACCTTCAAGCCTGTTATCTATGCGTTAAATTGGCTGTATGTTTTCTTTATGCCTAAAACGGATATTTGATACTGGTGTTTCTGCGCATTCAAACTCTTATTTTAAGTAATTTGTTTTCCACGACGCCTATATTGAGGCAAACTTAAATATAAGGTGAAGAAGACTTGATCTGTTTTCTTGGAAATCTTTTAAGGTTCACCTTTATGCACATGTTACTACAAGGTCAAAAACATTTTTTTGAGGCTTGGCTAATAAATTATTGTAGCCTCTTTTTGTCAGTTTCTAGATGCTTCTAGTTACCTATTAATCTTGTCCATTTTGTGTTTGGTTCTAGTTGATCCCCCTCTTCGTATTTATTGGAGCGGGAGGTACTGGCGCAGGACTGTATCTCCTGCGTCTGGCTTTGTTCAATCCAGATGTCAGGTGAGTGTTTAAAAATGTTTAGAATGGTTTATCAAGTTGTTTTAGGAACCACAGTCTGTCTAGGGAGGCAACGTCAGGTCATAGAAAAGGCGCTCAATTTGGTGCTCATAGAGTAATTTGAAATCCCACTTTCATTTTTCCTAGATCATGGAATTATTTAAATTTGAGTCTCATTTCTCAGCAGTAGAGTAGAACTGCTGGTACCTATGTTGGAATGTTGTGAGGACTGGGAATATACTGTTTTTATAAAGTAACCGGGTTTACTGATTATTGTAATGCTTTTTGTCTCCTTTTCACAATAGATGTTGAAACTAGGAAACCCTTTTTTGAGGTTGAAAATAGGAAAAAAAACCAGATTGGTTCATTGTCATCCTATGTATATTTCTAGGTACTACTTAATAGATGAAATATTGATCTCTAGTAAAAAACCAACTACAAAATTTCCTTTGAGGCATAATTGCTTCAAGAAGCTTTGTGTTTCACTTTTTTTTGATTATGTGGGATTACTTATAGATCTGTTTTAGTTACATAATGAAGACAACACTTTTTCTACGAGAAAATGAGATCTATTCGAAATTTTAACTTCTTGAAAAGTACAAAACTGTTTCAGGTAATGTTTAATTATTTAACAATTATAATGTTTTGTTCATTTTAGTTGGGACAGAAAGAATAACCCAGAACCCTGGAACAAATTGGGTCCCAATGATCAATATAAGGTAAACTACACAATTATTTCAGAAGTGCTGGAAATTGTATTTTAATAAACTTTGTCATGGTGCTTTTGATACAGAATGAACAAGTAAAATTTCATTGTAATGAATTTTGAGCAGTTGCTAGATTATTCTGTGAAATAAAGATGGTATATTTTGCTAAGGATACTATTTACTTAGACTTTGGATGTGAAAAGATAATTTCTGTATTTTGATTTGGCTAGAAAAGAGCTAGTACTCTCTTTCACCAGTTTTTACATATTGCATAGACTAATGTAGTAATTCTCAAGTGTATGTAGTCCTCAGCCAGTGAGGTTGCTAAAACAGATTCTTTAGCTCTACCACCAGAAATTCTGATTGAATAGGTTGTTGTAGAAGGTCAAGAACTTGAATTTGTAATTAGGTTTCAGGTAATGATGATGCTTGCTGCTGATTCATAAACACCGCTTTGATTAGCACTGATGTAGTGGATGGTTGGGTTGTCTTATTTCTTCCTGGTGTGTTGAATATTTCAGGTGAGGGTTAGATGAGTAGCCAGTTTATTGAAAGTTATATTTTATCATGTCCTTCAAGATAAACTTTAAACATCTTCTCTTGAAGGTGGTTTGTGGAATTACTCTTTCAAAGAATGATATCATCCACTGAGACCATTATTTATTTTATTAAGATAAAATGAACATATAAAGTGATGCTTTGATGTATATGTTACAGTATGATTACTATAGTATTTACTTAATAAACACCTTTATTGCATCACATAATTTTTTTTGAGGGTTGAGAACCATTAAGATCTAGCTTTTTAGCAGCTTTTATGCTTATAAGACAATATTGTTGATTATACTTAACTATGCTGTTCATTAGGCCGCCAAAATTAATTTATATACTAATTGTGCTTGTCCTTTTAAATATCTTATCTATTCCCTCAGTGCCACAGGCCCTAGTAACCTTCATTTTGCTCTCTAATTTTGCAAATGTGGCTTTTTTCAGTCTCACTAATAAGCCATAATATACCCACTCTTTTAGTTTTCCTTTGTCTTCTCATATAATGTCCTCAGTTATACTTTTTTTTTTTAAAAGGTTTATTTCTGCACACAAGAACTTGGGTAAATTCTAGAGGTGTGGGGGCAGGGTGTGTATGAGAGGATTCACCAGAGACAGAATGGGGAGCAGAACAGGTAGATCAAATGAAATACATTGCTGAGGGGAGCATCTCCATGGCTGGGGATTGAACTTGTGCTGCTGTGGGTACCTTCATTGTACTACGACTTAATCCCTTGTGCCACCAGGAAGGCCCATCAGTCAGACATTTTATATCCAGTGGTGCCATGGCAAGTCAAGAGCATTTATTGGTGCCCCAAATAATACCCTTCAATATAACATTTTTGCCTATAAAAACAAACTCTTTCAATGTGGCGGGAAGTCAGCTTTTTAAGAATTTAATTCACATACCTTACTGTTTATTGATCTAAAGTGCATTAACTTGGGCCTCCCTGGTGATGGAGGGTTTGAAATCTCAGTACTATCAAGCTGTTGTCAGCCACTGCGGTCACGAGTATGAGTTTGATCCCACGTCTGGGAGCTGACCCACATGGTGCAGTAGACCTCTTCAGTCTTGTCTGCTGCTCCCCTCAGCAGTGTATTTCAGTAGATCCACCTGTTCTGATGGAACACTGTGTCTCACTGTCTCCTCCCTCACACCACTGGCTTGCACCCCTTTTCTTCTATATAAAAATAAATCTTTAAAAAAATAAAAGTCTGTGACTCAACTACATATATTTTCCACTATACCTGATTACTTCAAGAGAGAAGTAGTAGTTTGCTTAAGCACGCTTAAGATGCCCCCTTCCCAGTGAATACCCAGTACCCTGTAGCAGATATCCCTCCATGGGGAATTTGGATATTGGTGCTATCATTACTGCTGAAAGCTGCTTTTAAGATAATTGTCACTCTTTGCTGATTTCAGGCTTTTTTCTTAAGCTGATAATTTGACTGCTAAATCTTTAAACAGATCTCCCTATAGGAAGCAATTAAAAATGCACAGATGAGGCAAATTGAGCCTGTGTTAAAATTTGCCAAAAAAAAAAAAAAATGGCATCTTGTCTTACTTTACTCTTGTGAATGTGTTTAAGTTTATTTTAGAGAAAATGATCTTACATCCAACTGTTAACATGGAAAACAAACAAAAGCAGTACATAGTCTTTTGTCAAAGGATATACTGGAATCCTTTGGAAATGCATAGCCCCAAAAGCTCCCTGCATGATCCTAATAATGATCCCAGTTTTCAGTGTCCTTCAACATGTCAGTGTGAAGTTGTGTAAACTGGAAATGAAATGTTGCTGCAATAAAAATCTAATGTGTGTTGAATAGATTGAATTTTGAATAGTTATTACTGATATTAGAGATTGGAAAGATGGATCATAATATATAATGGCAAAATATTTAATAAAGTTGATCTAACATGGAAACAAACCATGTGCCTAAAGAACTTTTTATATGAAAAGATTTGGAGACAATATTTTATTGTTCCACTGCTGAATATATTTGCCAAAAGATGAGCTAACAGAAGAATGGGGAAATTTATCAAGAGAAGTAAGTGGGAGCCAACCCCAAAGACTTGAAAAGGGTAAAATATATGAATCCTGCAGTTGCTTTTTAACCCAAATAATGAGGTATAGACTATGTTATTCTGTCATTCATTGACCCTCATCTAAGAAACTTCTTTTTATGGCCCATTGACATCAAGTTTGGCCATGTGACTTGCTCTGCCAAATTGTAAGTGAGAAGTGCACCTGCCACTTTTGAACCAGTATCTGGGCGATTCCCCATTGTTCTTTGCCTTGAGACCAGATCTACACATTCAGCCCAGGATTGAATGAAGATAACATGGAGCAGACTTTTTATAAATGGCATATAATGAGTAAAAAATAAACCTTTGTTACTGCAAGCCACTAAGATTTGTATTAAAGTCCGACGAAAGCCAACTTAAATACAGACAACAGGGGGATTAATATAGGATTTAAGCATCAAAAGACCCAACAAAACTTACCAACTGAATGCCTTGATGCCAAGATCAGAATATACTATGCCTTCCCAGCTATCGTCAGAGACCTTTAAGGTAGCCATGATAAATGAGGAAAAGGATGAAGACATAGAAACTGAAAAATATGGCATATTTCAAATTTAAATTCTACAGGGAATTTTTATACTGGCATATGGAACTGAATTGAAGCAATTCCATCAGAAATCTGTTTAGTTTTGAGAAAATTGAAAAGGTACTGTGTCTGCATGAGTAGAGCCATGATCCAGCCAGGTAGTTTTTGGCAATTCATAAAACTTCAGTTGCCCCTTTTATGAACAAAGAATAAAAAAGTTGTTATAATTAAGATAACCATAAAGCTTTTGCCCACAGTGCCTGCATCTTTTTAAAAAGCCCAACATTATCATTTTCTATTTTCAGTTGCTTCATAGAACACTGCCAAATGAAAAATATAAACTTTATGGCTCATACATAATTCCTTTTTTTAAAAGTCCATGTGTATGTAGCCTTTACAGCCTAGAAGTTGGTTTTTGTTGTTGTTGTTGAATAAAATAAAAAATTTTCAATTAGAAAGGAAGACATTAGGTTTTGTTTTGAAAAATAAAGGTTTGAAGAAAAAATTATGAAATTCTTGCTTTATAAAAACCTTGAAGAAAAAAATTAATGTTTTTGCAGTTTTATTGCTAGCTTTTTTGGAGTTAAATGATGTGACCTTTAATTTTAGCACAACCTCTTGTAGGTTTTTTTGGGGGGAGGGGGACAAAAACCCAAGATTGTAGTCATATTTGGGCTTATGTGCAAATCTTAGTGCTTCCTTAGTAGAAACTCTGGAACAGTTTCAAATATAAATCATTAAAGAAAGTTAGAGAAGGTAGGTTTTTTTTTTTAAGCAATTATAGACTTCTAAAATATATTTTAATTGAATAAGAAAATTTCAGACAATGTTGCTTCTAACTGCAGTCATTTAAATACGATTTAAAAACAAAGATACAGTAATGTAAAAACTTTTTTACCATATGGTCTAGTGTTGGTTTGATACTGATGATTCTGGTTCAGAAGATTAAGGAAACTTATAAATAAGAGAAAATAGAAAAATCATTGAAGCAAGTCAGTGAAAAGTTAATGTAAGCAAACAACAAAGCATTACCGTACATTGCTAGCCTATTTTGGCTGCTTATAAATTAAATTACAGTACTTCACTAATCAAGTAAAAATGGTAGTTCTTAGTATTCCTCGATTTTGGACAGTCACCTATACAATTAGAGATGGAAGTGAAAGCATAAAAATTGGAAGTGTCAGAAGAATTTAATCACTTTGAAATTAAAGAACTTTTTGTTTCTAGCATACTAACACTTCGGAAGTATATTAACCTTACTAAAACCATTATTAAAGGACTGGAATGTTTGTACCTTTTACATTGTTAATTTTCTTAATTAAAAAATTAATGTATGCAATGTTACTATAGAAATTTAATAAAAATATTTTTAAAACTTACCATCTCTTGTGTATTTTGACAGATCCATCTAAAATATCTTTTTTCTTTTCCAAGTTCTACTCAGTGAATGTAGATTACAGCAAACTGAAGAAAGAAGGTCCAAACTTCTAAATGAGATAGTTCACTCTAAAGCTGCTTAAAATGAAGGTCTTCCAGAAGCCATCCGCACAATTTTCCACTTACCAGGAAATACTTCCCTCTCAATGCATGAAATCATGTTGGTGTATTGTGTAGGGATTTACACTGATTAATAAATATATCTGAAACTTGGTATGTGTCTCTCTTTAATCCTGAAAACCTGCTCTGAACTTTTTTTTTTTTTTTTAAAGATTTATCTATTTATTTGTACAGAACTGGGGTATAGGCCAGAGATGCGGAGGGTGAGAGAATTCACCAGAGACAGAGTGGGGAGCAGAACAGGCAGATCGACGAAGCACACTGCTGAGGGGAGCAGCGGGCGGGCCAGGAGAGGTCCGCCACGCCATGTGGTCTCCCCCGGGGCAGGCGGGAATCGAACTCATGCGGAAGTGGCTTTAGCTTCTTAGTGCAGTGCTTTAACCCGCTGCGCCACCAGGGAGGGCCTGCTCTGAACTTTTAAGTAGGCTATAGCAAATAAAATAGAACTTAAGGAATTTCTATAATTTGTGTGATCAAAAAATAAGACGAAGCTGTGCTGATAAAACACATCTGTGTATAGGTCATTGATAACTTTACTAGAGTAGATCTAACAACTGAAACTGGATATTACAAAAGTCAATCAGGAGGGATATTAAAACTTCTGTGCATTGGTAAAATAGAAATACTGAGTTTTGATACTGGCTGGTGTCAAAGTATGTGCCGTTGTAAACAATGGTTTTAACCATGGCATTCTCTTGGTGAAGATTTTCAAGATTTATCAAGTGGTGTGATGGGAATTGTAGTTTGATGTGAGTCTCATTGCTGACAGTGGAACTATTGGCTAAGAAATGTGGAAGATGTTTGTTGAGTGTTGGCAGATTTTCAAGGCCATAAAATACATGAGTAGCATTTTAAGATTGGGGAAATGTGAAATATCTTACTAAGTGGGCTATGGAATTGGAATTTGGATGGAAAAGATGTAAATGTGTGTATTTGTGTACCTCTTACCTGTTAACATGGCGTAGACCTTTTTGCTGAATCTCTGGTGATCCAGTAAATAGGACATTTCTTCAATGATGGCTGAACAAGAATTAACCATATCTCATTTATCGTCTTCACATCGGTATGTGCTTATATGTCACTCAGAAACTTCCATGGAACCTAGTACGATTTTGGATATTAATATGTAACGGATATTTCTGGTTCCCAACTGCTATTCACATTTTACATGTTAGGAACAGAAATAATTTGAATTGCATAGGTATTTTAATTTTTGTAAACTGTTGAAACAGACTTGGAATAGTGAAGTTCCTCAAATTAATTCTCAGAATATTTGAACCAGGTAGTCTTGAGAATAGAGTACCTTTCATTTAACTTGGTTATATTTTAAGTTTCTGGGTCTCTAATTTCCATCTGTAGTACAGGGTTTTTCAACCTGTTGATGCTCGTTAGATAATTGTGCTGTAATGGCACATCCTGTGAATTGCAGGAGTGATCCTTGCCTCTATTACCCTAGGCAGGTAGCACTCCTCCCCCACCTCGTGTGTGAAAAAAAATTCCTCCAGACATTGCCAGATGTTATCTAGGCAAAACTACCCAAGTCGACCCTTTTTGAGATCTGCTGTCGATACTTTGGTGTGAATTATATATAACTTTCACATCATCAGTGGGTGGCCTTAGTTGTAGCCAAGTAATGAGAAAAAACATCAGGTAGTAGTAAACACTGCAAAGAAATAGTAATAATAGTTTTTAGTATTAAAAAGTACAGATGCTTAGAAATTCTTGAATGTATTCCTAGATTTATCCATGTTTGAATGTTAACTTTGATGTGAAATAGTTTTTAAACTCATCCTATTAACTATTATTTGATAGCAATAGAACCTATGAAATTGCCCATGTTAATGTCTAATAGGCATCTCTACCATGCCCAGTTCTAAAATTATGCAAACTCCACAATTTTCAATCAAATTGCGTTATAGTTATATCATCCTTTTAGTAGTTCATTCTAAAATCCTGAATCTTTTTATGTTAACTTTTATCATACCTCATACTGTTAGTAGATCATGTTCTACTTACAAAACATTCAGTCTCACTTTTTAAACAAAATTCCTCAGTAATCACTTTGTTCCAAACTCATCATTAGTCTGGATTATTAAAATTACCTCTCCATTTGTCTTTCAGCTGAGAACCATCTCTTCTCAACATAGCCAAAATTAATATGCAGTCTAGAAAGGCATTCCTTTGCTTATAACTTGCCAGCATTTCCCCATTTCACTCAACAAAAAGCTGGGTAGTTAAAGTTTGACTTTATCTTACTAACACCAAATGGAATTTCTTAATCACCTGTATCAGGAGGCCTAGCCTAAGGTTTAAGGTTAGTCTTTTCTGGGCTTAGAATTTTCTTCTCCAGTTGCTGTCAAGAGCTTGTTTGCTTCTCACTGAGGTTAGCTCCTGTGTTACCTTTTCAGTTAAATCCTTGCCAGTGCAAAATTTCAAACTCTTAATCCTCATCACTTTCTATTTTTCATCTCAATACCTTAATTACTTTCTGATGTAATAAAAGTAACATTTTTTTTTAAAGATTTATTTATTTGTACATATAGAACCGGGGTACAGGCTAGAGGCTCAGGGGTGGTGATAGGCTTCACCAGAGACAGAGTGGGGAGCAGAACAGGCAGATCGACGAAGCACACTGCTGAGGGGAGCAGCGGGTGGGTCAGGAGAGGTCTGCCACACCATATAGTCACCTCCGGGGCAAGCGGGAATCAAACTCATGCGGAAGTGGCTTTAGCTTCTCAGTGCAGTGCTTTAACCCGCTGAGCCACCAGGGAGGGCCCAATAAAAGTAACATTTTATGTGAAGTATTTACCCACACTATAATGTAAGCTCCATGAGAGCAGGTATTTTTGTTTGCTTCGTTGATAGATCCTCAGCACCTAGAATGGTACCTAACACTTGCTATTTAATAAAAGCAAGTTCAGGTATATAGAAGAGGGCAGTCTTAAAAGTGTTTGCAAGTGACTTGATGGCAATAATCAAAATTTGAGATGATTTGAGTGCTTTTGCAAAAGTATTCTGCCTATATTTCTATCACCACTCTCGGTAATTTTATTAACAGTCATTTCCAAGGAAAGCATTATGTTTAAACTAAAAAACCTGTACTGGAATTCAAAGGTAATTCTACAACGTTTAATTTGAGATGAATCTGAGTGAGAAAAAAAGCCCAGATCCTTCGCTATTGAAAACAGATCTTTTGAAGTTGACAGTTCCAGATTTCTTTTTCCATTTTTCTTTCCAATTGTAAAAGCTATACATGTTCATGTATACAAGTATATATATTGAGAAAACATCCAAGTTTTGCTTGGAGTGGTGTGAAGTAAATGTTAGAATGCTGTTATGCAACCACTTTTCTCAAAGAGTGTTCAAATATCACATTCAGGACCCTCATTTTTTTTTTTATTACAAAGTTTATTTTTACATCATTTTG